TCTCTGCAAAACAAGATGACATACAACTTTACGACAGGCGGACTTTCTCTTCTGTCTTTCATACTAGTCTGTCACAGATGTCTCACTGTGAACCTATCCGTGTATCAGTTTCCTTTCAGGACAAATTTAGTTCATCTTCAGCAATTCATCCTTACACAATTTTGTGGGACCTATTTATCAGATTCTTACCTAAATTCCTTCTATGCCGTGTATAAAAGGAGCTGTGGGATTTCGTTTCATCACCAGTCCATTTCTTAATATTAAACCAAACACTGTATGGCACGTATATTTGTCCCTTCTTAGCCGATACACCAAAAACGACATTTGAAGCTCCGTATTCCAAGTTATCCCAACCCACATGTTGCCCAAATATGTGCCAGCTTTATGATCTTTGCTCGCAACAACCAAAGCAATTGTTTTATTATCTGCCTTATCTCTCGATATTACCGAAATCGCCAGTGAATCTGCATTAGCGAACAAGCGCTCCTCTCTGACCAATACAGGTTAGCTGGTACAAATGAATCCATCTTCCGACAGCTCTGTAAAGGATCTTTTTCTCTCTAATGTACCTTATTTATTCATATTTATAAGTGAATCTGCCATTTATGCTCCCATCAAAGACAACAGTTCGTAAAAGCACCCTTTTTAAAACAACATAAACAAAAAGACATATACTGGAAAAAACTTTTTCACCACTCACAGAGGCGTTCTCTCATCAGGTATATCCAACCAATAATTTCCTTCATCGATAAGGTAACGGGTGTCTTCTGCGGGCATCGGTTGGCAGAAGAAACCTAGTGCCACATGAATTGAGCTCATCCGAGGTTGATCTGGCGGTTATTTCTGTGACACCCTGACCAGATGTCTCCCGGTTTAGCGTTTTTGTTCTAGTGGCACATCAGCGTGACAGACGGTCACCAGAAGGCTAAAAAAGCAAATCATCTGAGAGTTAGGTTAACTGAAATTGAACAAATTATAGTAGGGGGGTAGGAGAGCTCATGACATTCTAATATCCATCGAAGCAGCTGAGCATGGATATGTGAGTTACTAATGAGGGCCAGCTTGCTCGTACAAGGGTTGGGTGCATGATTCTCCGAAAAGAGGGACAAACCGAACGATAGTTTCTTGCAAGTGACGATGTTTATGGTTAGATTGGTGCTTGTTTGTGTTAGGATCTGTCGTTAATAAAGTGCTTGTAATTGTATCTGACTAGCTACCCCATATGTGGATAAAAGAGTAATTATTGTGCTCTGTTCTCCAATATGTTTCAAAATAACGCAGCTCTGCTGAGTAAAAAAGGTCAGCGGATTTCTTGCCTAGCGAAAAACATATTGGGTCAACCACTGACCTGGAGAGACACGGGTTCGGTTTACTGGTTTCGAAACTTCACTCCTTTGGGTCCTAGCGTTTTCAGAGTGGAATAACGATATGCCTAAAATTGGCCGAAATTGGGTTTGGAAATGCTGTGTTTGCTTTTTTGAGGTCGAATATAAGTGCCGCACTATCGTGACTAGGGTGAGTATCATTGCATCGAAAGAAATTGAACTGGTTCAATTATCACAAATGAGGGATGACAAAGTTGATTGTGAGCAACAACCTAACCATTGATTTCTCTTAGTAAGCAGAAATTTATAAGCCATAATGTAACTGGACTCCAAAGCTATGGCTAACTGATGTGCTCTATTCTATCCACGTCAGGAAGTAGAATCTGTCAAGACTTTTTGCCATCGCCATTGTCGCTAGTGCCAACTTGATGACGAGTGAAGACGTTTGGAAGCATGCAGTCTCCCGCCCCTTCCCACGATGAAATCATGAACGCCTATTACGGCGCGCCAGAGCCTAAACTACGGAAATTTTCAGATTTTCACTTCAGGAATGCTGGACGCTTGTATTAGTCGTAAATAGCTCGGGTGGTTGTTGTTGTGGAAGTACCGACAGAATCATACTGATGAAAATCAATGTTTTGGCGTTCATTGATGAGCTAAATGTTGCTAATATTACCCAGTATCCTGAAAATGAATTGACAGGTGTAACTTTGTATGTGCATGTCTTACTGTCTGTTAGAACAGCTGAATACGGTCAATGGAATAAGAACTTATCAACCCATATATCCACCCTATCTTTGTGTTATTCTAAATGGTGTTGCCTGTTTACTCGACAAACAGATTGATGTCAGGATTTTATTGGGCAAGCTGAATGGTTTACAGTGTGCATGAACTCTTTAAAGACGTTGTTTGGAGAAGTCACCAAAAACGTACAATGAAAGTGAAATATTTGATTACAATGATGAAGTCATGGTCAAAAGGGACATACGAAAGCCCTGCACGTGTTTGCTGTGTTTCAAGCAGTTAGCTCAACCGCCGCAGTATTGTTCAAGGCATATCATTTCTCCCAACATTTTCACAGGGTTGCATGCCTAGCGAATGTGTATAATGGTTTTGAGTAGCAATACATAATGTAACGCATTGCGCAGAATATGCTACCTCACTTTCGCAGTGAGTGTTGGAACCATCGAGTGATGTATATATTTTAGAGAATACTTCCCAACTCCTAGGCTTGGTGCTGTGAGGCAGCGGAGGGATTGCTCACGGTGCAGATAGGTGTCTCGAATAGAATTTGACGAGGGAGCAATCATTGATCAAGCACCAACCTAGGAAGGAAAAATACGTGCCAAACTCTAAGGTCCACAAGGTGTACAGGAACTTTTATGCAAGTCTGCAAGTCGGGATTCATGTGTTCAGTTTCTCGTTGTCCTTGCAGGCTTTTAAAAAAATGGCTTGATCAAAACGGCCTAATTCAAAAATCATTTGGGTTATTCCAAAGTGGCCCACAGTTTCTCATCGCTACGGGACACATCACTCCCAGGAATTAAATTGTCCATAAAGTTGATTCGTACATTCTGCGTGTAGAAATCTGGCAAGCTATTCATTATCCAAAGGTCCGCTTCGTCGGTGATGGGTAAACCCTCCAGTACAGTCCAGCAACCTAGAAAAGTGGTTGGACTGTTGATGATACCTGAACCCGAATTCCTTGTCTGCCTGTTAGTCTAAGCCTGCCACATGCGGTGTCAGCTTTAAACAAAGCTGAAACGCACCAGGCGACTTCTCTTCCACCCACCTAGAAATATGTCAGAACTTGAGCTCCAATCACTTCACTGAAATGATTTCTTTCCACTGCTTCTTGACTGTTAACTCACTTCTTAAGAATCAAGGGTAGTTTGTTGCTGGTTCCATAAGGCCCATTTTCAAGGGCTCCCTCGGAACTCAAATATCTGACCAAGCCGTATTTTTGCTTGCTTCCCTGTATCAGCCTTCGATACAGGTGCAGGAAAACGATTCTGTTCTGCTGCTTCTAACTTAAACTTAAGTGTAAGCGAGGCCGTCCTACTGTTCTCTGTACTTCGAGCTTTAGGCTGTATATTCTTGTGTTTGTGATGTTTGTCGGTGGAAGTCACTTCAACAGCATAGGGTATCGACTTGATTTCGTCACCTAAAACAGAATGGAGTTTCCTCTGCAGTACGTTTGTTTGAGAGTGGAGAGAAATGACGCTTTAAACCTTTTTTTGTCTGACACACCGCAACCCCGTTACCGACTTTTTACCCAGATTTTGTGACTTTTCTAGCATGATCTTTTTCCTTCAGTACACTATGGGCCAAATTCCGTTTTTTATGTTACAAAGAGCTAAGAGCATTACGCGAAAAGCTTGTGGTGGGACATCCATAGAACCTCTATGGTACTCATCCTTCCAGCTGGATAAGTACTATCAGACTACGAACTATTGTAATGGGCTCCGAATCCAAGTTTTGCAGTGTGGTCCCTATGTAAATCTAGCCATCATAACTAATAAATTATTGGAGTCAGTAGACGGCTTTCATGTTACGCACAACTCAGCTAGTTCCATCAACTCCATATTTCGTCAACGTAGCCGTCCTTGATTCCCTAAGAGTTGTTCATCTGAAAGCACAAGCAAGGTGAACCTCACCTGGGCTGAACTTCAGTAGTTATACTTATCATTTTTGCATATTAAGACTAATGTGTCAGGCCTATGAGATGCACCGCAACGTAAGATGTTCATTCTGGATTCAGAATTCTTGTTTAATCCGTACACCTTTTACTGAACGTAACAGCTCCTATGAAACCTCCAGATTTTGAACTCGAATATAATTTTCTGTAAAAGTGACAGTGATCGCTAGCCCGAATGATTCCGGATATGCTGCGTGGCATGCTCAGGATCTGCATGTCCAGGAAGATGACTTTACATTCTGAGTGTGAAAAATGCAAACCCAAGGAAAGTATGACTTTTTCCAGTTTATCGAAGAACATCTGCGCTTTCCTACCCTCTTTGTAGATAAGAGCGATGTCGTCTGCATGTCGCAGAGTGAAAAGATTTTCAACAGCATCTAGTTGAACACCAGGATTTTGAATACTTTCCGGCGTTTGTCTCGTTGAGTATGAAAGCAAATTAAAATGTAGAGATTGGGCAATCTTGACCGACCCCACTTCGTGTATGAAAGCTTGTGGAGATCTCTCTGTATACTTTTCACACCCACAAGTTTAAGAACACAAAGAATATACCATTTCAAAAACTTTCAAGACACTCCTTGCTTGGCAAGCGTGTTGAGTAGAGCAAACCGACCTAGGGAGCCAAATGAGCCTTTAAAATCCAGAAATGCTAATATTATAAGCCTTTTATACCCATGAAATTTTCCTAGCATCTTAAAAGTTGTAAATATTTGGTTAATTCAACCCCCGCCAGAACTGAATCTTGCTTGCTGTTCTTGTGCCAAAGCTCCCCAGCCACCATAAGGCTATGAAAGAGAGGTAGCGTTAAAAGTCTCGTCACGTTCGAGGTCAGGCTGCTCACTGTAATTATCGCGCTCACCAAGACCCTCTTCTTGAAAATAGGCTTTATCACTAATTCTAACCAGTTGTTCTAGACAGTTTGTTTCCTAAAAATACAAGTAAATTAGTCGGGCAACACTGGATGAAGACTTCATCTCAGTCTTTAAACAAAGCAAATGGGAGCTGGGTAGCGTTTGGAATAATAGATTCATTCATAAACCTCCTAGATTGTATGGGGTTCTAGGTTGTTTTCTAGGGTTTTACCTCATCTGCAACATCCAAGTGAGTGGCAGCCAGTGGCTACAAGATTTGCCCCCATCGATCAAGACGTTTTTATTCAGGATGATTTTGCCACTTTGATTCCTAGTGATTTTGCTCGCAGGCAATTTTCGGAGGCCAGTCACACAGAAATATGGCGTTTGATGCAAGACGTGCTTTCTTACAGAAAAAAGACTGCGCCTTTTAGGGAGGTGCTGTTGTCTTCGTGAGTACTGTAGCTTTACTCCACGGTCTTGAAAGCAATTTTGCGCAACGATGCTAATCTCCGTTCAGTCTGGAAGCCATTCTTTAATGTTGCTCCCCTCCAAATATGCCTTTTGTTGTAATTTTTGAGTGTTGTGATTCGGTCTGTGGAATTCTGCCAGGCTGTATTTTCTGACAATCTAGCCACAAATATCTAATACTAGGTCTTATCAAGCAGTACAAGGCAGGTGGTCTTGCTTCCGCACTGATCCGAAGGATATAAAAGAGTTTTCATCTTGCATAGGTCCGTTAGTTGATACCATTGCTCAGATGGTCACTGCGGTCAAGCAGTGCTGCAAATTCCGAGAGATAGACTACTAAGTCTTTGTCGTTTAGAATGGAAACAAGTGCTGAATATTTCGTCCCACAATGCTACGTTGATTGTCTGACGCGGGTTTACAAATGTACACAGCCCATGACTTAAGAAGGGTGTTTTCGGGAGTACTGTTGCCAAATGAGCTGTCTGCAAGGAGTGCGACAATACCCCGCCTTAATGACTTATACAAGAAGCTCCACAAGCACAGTTGCACAATTTCTCGTCCAAGAAGTGCAAATAATTGTGAGG